AAGTGTGCGTGGGGGGAATCGAGCAATGAGTGAATGATAAATTGCTGATAGATAGCCATTGTCAAGAAACAGGTCCACACTTGATACAATAGATCCTGTATCAGAGAAGTCTGAGCTCCCCCTTCATACCTCCAAGGGGTAAGATTGACTCCTTTGCGCAGACAAATAGCAAGCACTCACATTTCAGCTCGTTGGCCTTCAAGGTGTCGCAGATCTCTAGCGTGGCCATTCCCAACAAGATGTCCGCCTTCAGCGTCTGGTGGCTCCACACGCGGAATATCAGCTTGCTGAGAGGTGTCACGATTCTATAAGCAAAGGAAAGACGTGTTAAGACAAGGCGGAAGGTTTGAACAATGAAGAGTCGACCATGCTGAAAAGACAGGTGTTAAAAAAAAATAATAATAATTAATTACTTACACAGTGAGAGCTTGCTTCCATTTTGGACTGTGTGTATTGTTGCACTTCTCTGTCCGCTTTGATTGGCCGTCCACAGCTACCTCTACGTACGGGCTGGGACCAAACCAGTTCTTTTTGTTTTCCTTGAGTTTGGCAGAAAGAACTGGGAAGGGATACCAAACATCACCTTGTAATCAGCGTTCAAAACAGCTGAAATAAAAGCTTATTATTCATAGTTTGAATCTTAAAGGGCCTAGACAGGGTTCCCACTCGTCCACTTTTTATTTATGGACCTTTTAACTCATTCAGTACCAGCCAATAGTGATGGCGGGATGAAGCCCCGTGAATGTATCGAGTCTTTTGGGCCAATTGCTTCGCCAAACGGCTCATCAGTCGAGGCCTCATTTAATAGTTCATTTAGTAGTGCTGACATCTGCTGGTCATTTGATGTAACGCAGATGTTATGTGGTTAACAGGCAACAAACCAGTAAATCTGTGCACAAAATAATGGAAGTTTTGTCCATTAAATATTGTCCGTATATTTGTCAGTTGTATGTTCAGTTACTTGATGTGCTTGTGTAACTGGGACACACATTGGATAGAGGGAATGGTGTATTTTATTGGTTTTTGTTAAGGAATAAAATAATTTTGACTGTGTTGGGGCTCAGTCGATTCCTTTTTTTGGATATGATTTCCCCTGCCTTTGAGAAAACCCTCTCGCAGTGTTGGGAGATATCTGTTCGAAATGCTCTCAAACTAGTGAAGTCCTTCGCTTTTTGGGTGGCTCCGCCTCCATTCTCAAGCAGTCGAAGTAGCGCAGCAATGATCCAAGACTCACGTCAGACGGTCATGTGGGGGACTCTTCCTGGGTTTTCCGCACCTATTTATGGAGCGCGAATCACGATGTGAGTCAGTCACATGATCGCTGAAAACGGGGCCTCGTTTACCTTCGGTCACGTGATATGAGGAAAAAACGAGACGGGCCTCGATACGGGCTCCATTTAACCACGCCCCCTTTGTGCGGGGCTTGACTCGCGACTCCAGCAGTTCCATTTGTAACATCACTACCAGCCAATTCTGGACCAAGTCTGAAAAGACGTTTAAAAACGTCTTTGGGAGTGAATGAGTTTTGAGGGCTAATTTAGCCATTTTTTAAGGACTTTTTCTCCATTCAGCAGGGGATTCACGGTCGATTTAATGCCCGCTCAGCAATGTGCGGGCTGAACAGAAAGCCACATATTACTGAGCTAGTGTTCAAATCATTGCTGCCAAAGGAAGGGCACATCTTTATTTTTAGGGGCAATCAGCTAACCCTTTATTTCAAATACTGTATGTCAAATTTTCATTTTCCTAGGTAGGAAAATGTCAACTGGTTAGCGCATCGGCCTCACAGTGCAGAGGTGCAGGGTTCGATTCCGGCCTTCCTATGTGGAGTTTGCATGACTCCCCGTACCTGCGTGGGTTTTCTCCGGGCACTCCGGTTTCCTCCCACATTCCAAAAACATGCATGGCAGGCTGATTGAACACTCTAAATTGTCCCTAGGTGTGAGAGTGAGCGTGGGAACCGTTTCAGGGTGTACCCCGCCTACTGCCCGACGTAAGCTGGGATAGTCTCCAGCACACCTTCGCAACCCTTGTGAGGATAAGCAGATCAGAAAATGCATGGATGGATGGATGAATATTTCATAGCTATCTTGGCCGTATCTCTGCCTGCAGCCTATACTATTACTTTGAAATAATATGTACAGTGTGTGTGTGTGTGAGAGAGAGAGAGAGAGAGAGAGAGAGAGAGAGAGAGAGAGAGAGAGAGAGAGAGAGAGAGAGAGAGAGAGAGAGAGAGAGAGAGAGAGCACAGCCCAAAAAGATGCATTACAGCCTATTCGGTTCATAGTAGTGTCAACAACATAAATGTTTTTGGGGCGGGGCAGCATCATGAACCACGATGAACCCTTTACACTTAATAGATAAAAAGAAACCATAAATATAAAAAGCTTTTGTGACTACCACCAAACTTGGGGATCAAACCCTCATCTTGACGTTTGAGTGCAGAGAGCTGATCCGTGAGCTAAATGTCATGGGCAAAAAACAATAAAAACGTGAAAGAAAAGCAGAATACTATACCTGTGACTTGCAATTGGGCCTTCATAGTTTATCCATAACACTGCCAAGAACCAGCAACTGTAACATGAGATGGAAATGCAGCATTATTACAAGCAATTGAAGTATGCCTTATGACCAAATTTAGTCATGCCTGTATAACTTTCTCATGCACGCAGTGAAACTTTGCGTCTTTGAAGCACTCATCAGTTAACTTTGATACACTTCTTACTGGAGACTTTGTGGAGACGCACAGAACATCAGAATGTGCCAGTTGATACAAGCTAAGAATTGGTTTAGGAGAAACTAAAGTCCCGATGCCACATCATAATTTCGGTACCACCCTTTTGATGATATAAATATGTTGTGAATCCCTTGTGTCTTTGCACTTGTGACCACTGCAGCCATATTCTGCGAATAAAAGCTTCGAAGAAACTGTTCATCATCTCCAGCCTGCATTCGGATAACCAACGTCCTCACTACCCGAAATTAAAACGAAAACGCGGAGGAAGAAAAAGGCCATCTCCCTCCCAACACGACCAACTTAAAAAAGTGATTGGGGTGCTCGCCACCTATGCGTACTGCCATACACTACGCACTTGAAAGTAGTGATGGGACGAACAACACTGGTGTGTCAGCACTGTGCCGAGTGTGCAAGTGTAAAACGCTGTATTGATGCTTGTATTGCTTTGACGCAAACAAAAAAAATCATGTGACCAAGACAGGAAGTGTGTCATTTGGATGTGCCACGCCAAATTGTGTTTGGATGGAAACAAACTGTATCGAATGTTATGGGTTTGTTGGATGGAGATTATACCTGTACCTATGTCATTGCCAGACCTTTGACAACTGGCACTGAATGAGTGTTTTCTAAGGCAGGGGAACTGGTGTTCAAGAGGAGAAATTGCCTTAGAGCAGACACTTAAAAAACTGCGTTCCTCAATAAAAATGTATGAATTAATCAAGTTTTGTGTTTTACATATGATTGAAGACTTTGGTACACAAAACCCCCATACAAAAATTAAACTTTTTAACTACAAATATTATTACAGAGAAATTTGCTATATTTTGCATGCCAACTCATTCGCGCATTTTCACAAATAAGCAAATTTTGAACCCTTCATAGACAACTTAACTTTCTTAACAAATGGAGCTTGTGAAACTATACAAAGCTATACACAGCTAAAAAGTCATTAATCACCAGTATATAACAGTGCCTAAACCCTTAAGTGAGCTCTTATTATAACGTGAAGGTTATTATTCGCATCTTAACTTTTCACCTAGGTGCCTTAAATATTGACATGTATACATTACTTAAAAGTATTCAAAATTGATCAGTTTTGGTGTCTTAATAACAATAAGGAGACTACAGTCAACGAAACCAGCGCATCGTTAAATTACGCATGGAAAATGTGTGATCCGGCTCTCGTATTGAATGTCATGAAAGTGTGAAATGTCGTGTCCAGTATATTAAACAACATACCACCCGCTCATGACGCTGCCTTCACGACAGGTTATGCAATGACGCGGTGGGTTAAGCTTGGCTATTTCGAGGAGTGAGGGAGTTGTTTGCTCTGCATAGAAAATCCCACCCTGAGCTAAAGCTAGCATGCTAATCTTTCTCCCAGAAGAGTCTATTTTCATAAAGATCAAATGAGAGCGACGGTGATTAACGACAAAGATTTAACATTTCGCCCTTTTAGGCTTGCTGCCTACTCCCCAAATTGACTAGCCTGTTATTAAAGACGCATACGTTGACGTCAATAACAACAAATCGTGGCTATTATTTATATTATTATTATTATTATTATTATTATTAATATTATTGCTTTTGTCACGACGGGTGTTGAAATATGTGAAAAACTACCTAAACATGCAAAAAAAAGTTCCAACGCTGGCCCATGAATGTGCCGTTGTCCACAAAGTTGCCATTAAACAATCATTGAACGCAGCATTTGTGCTAACGTCGACCGGCGCTTCGGGCTTTCCGTCGATGAAACTGAGAGCCCCAAGCTGCATCATAGCATACCTGACATGGGCACGCGATAAAGAGGCACGGGGCTGGTTCCTTTTAATGTCGTTTGGAGCTTATAATTGTCACCTTATGGTTGCCGTCTGTTTGCCATTATTGCGTATAGCCTAAGGTTCGCATCGCTAGCAAGATCCAAGGAGACTTTCCGGTGGGAAGATTTTCACAATGAGCGTAAGTAAGTGATTGTACGTATTACATTGGTTTGCGTGGATCCAAGTGTCGGTAAATTGTAATCTTAAACATATGGAAAGATGTTTTACCACATTGACGTTGATTCAATGATCGCTAAAACGTGGAAGACCGTTCGTGTGTAAAGCACAACATTTATTTTGAAGGGTTTTCTGGTTCGACATCATCTCGCGAAAGACGAATATAAAACAAAACCGCAGACGCATATATGTATTCCCTATCATGTCTCGGTATATTACATTGTATGTATATTTTTGTTTTTTTAATCATAATAAAGTGAAATTCTTCTCAGGGCCAACGCGGAAGTGCCCTCTTGGGACGTCATCGCAATGGTCTCGTGACTCTGCTTGTCAGCTGTTGGCATCCTGCACACTCTTGCCTATGTTTGGTAGTCGTTGTTGCAAACTTTGAAAATAATTCCAGTTGAATGAAGATGCTGTCCCGTTTGCTGAAGGAGCACCAGGCGAAGCAAAACGAGCGGAAGGAACTGCAGGGTGAGCAGAGTCATCCTGACCGGTCATTATTGAGCAGATTGACCACTATGCTAAGCGATTCTAAAAACGAAAAAGTGAATGCGAAATATTTCTGTACTACAAAAAAATTAAAAAAATATCCATCAATATACTCCGAAACGCCTCGTTCTAACCTCACCACTAATAGTTATACGTTTTCACATGTTTTGCGTTAAACTGTTCCTTTCGCAGAACGACGTAGACGTGAAGCTATTTCTGCAGCCACCTGCCTTACGGAAGCTCTGGTGGACCATCTCAACGTCGGGTAGGGACGTCCTTTACGTTTTCCGGCGTTAAACACTTTAACTTTCATCTATATAGATAGAAGCAGTAACTTCTTATATGAGGTGCTTTCGTATGATGGCTTTAGATAGGGTTGACATTTTCGGACATAAGTGGAACAATATGATTAAGTGTTGAGAAACAGATACAGTAATCACTTTACACACTAAGATTATTGTAGTGCATATGCTTCGTGATACATTAGGCATCTCAATCATAGTAAATGTGACTAAATAGACCTTTGCTACTATACTGTTGGAATTTCAGTGTAACATTGTAACATTGAAATGGGAATTTCTCCATTGCGAGACTAATAAAGGTTTTCTTATCTTATCTTATCTTAACATCCCAAGTAGAGCATAATCCAATATAGGTGTTCTAAAAAATTAAAAATAAACGTTCATTCACTGTCCAGCCAACTTTCTGACAGCTGACACTCTTAACTGTAATATAAGTGTAGCAAAAGAAGTTAACCAACATATATTGCATGCAGAGGAAGTTTGCTGCTTGTCCCTGGCAGGCCAGTCACCTTACATTATGACCACATACAGATAACTGCAGTGTATATTCAAATTCCGAGAGTATATTATCATAAAATATAAAAGGTACATCAAGTATCCAGATGAACTCCTTTTTACGAGGAGCACAGTGGCCTCTAACCTGAAATTTTAGAGGCGCAAGTAGATGACTTAGGGACACACATGGTAAGCTGACTTTTGAAGTCAATAGCCATCCCACTCCTTTTTACTTTATTACTGATAAATGGGTTGAAGTGTGGACTCAGAGCAGAAGTTTGTCACCAACAAAAATATCAACAACAAAAAAAAAATATGAATATTGAATTGAATTTTGAATTGAATACAACTTTATTGTCAAATGTGCTGTACAGCACAGATGAAATTTCTTCCCTCTCAACATAAAACAAGATTATATATATATATATAAGAAAATATTATATATATTTTTATATCTGCAAATGTACTGGAGTCCTGTACATAATATTTGCAAAACAAAATGCAAAATACAAATGAGACATAACAATACAAAACTAAGCTGGTGTGCAGAGATGTGAATACAATTGAAAAATATGAGCTAGAAAATAGACATAACTTGTCTTATTACACTGAGGGAAAATATAATACAATTAAGTTGCAAAGTTATGTATCAGGTGTCCAAATTGTGTCATATGGCATTTTATCAATCATGTTTACCAAACCTTGAAGGTGCTTCTTGTTTTCAGCGTGGCCCAGGCGTATGTCAACCAGCGCAAGCTCGATCATGAGGTGAAAACACTCCAGGTGCAGGCCGGTCAGTTTTCCAAACAGACTGCACAGTGGATCAGCATGGTGGAAGGCTTCAATCAGGCCCTGAAGGTAACGTGTCCGAACAGATGTGACTATAACTAATTAAGTTGAATTTAGATATGTAACCCTTAAGAACAAAAGAGTCTCAAAGTGGCTTCAGAAGCCCACAGTTCACAGAGATCAACGACTCTCCCCGGTCTAAAATGCCCACTCAGGAAGAAATTACAGTACGAAAACAGGCCTAAAGCCAGCGGCCTTATTTTCATGCCCAGCACAAGTCTAGCACAAAGGGCGGTCTAAAGCTACATTCATTCATTATTTAGACATGTTAACAAGCCGGCAGCTCCGTGGTCGACACCGTCCACCCCCACAGTGCAGAGGCACAGGGTTCGATTCCGCCTTCGGCCTTCCTGTGTGAAGTTTGCATGTTCTCCAGATACACTGGTTTCCTCCCACATTCAAAAACATGCAAGGTAGGTTAATACAACACTCGAAATTATTCCGAGGTGTGACTGTCTATATGTGCGAATGGCCATTTGTCTATGTGTGCCCTGCGATTGGCTGGCGACCAGTTAAGGGTGTACCCCCCCCCCCCCCTGCCCGAAGACAGCCGGGATAGGCTCCAAAACACCCGCAACCCTCTTGAAGATGAGCGGATTAGAAAAAGGATGGATGATAGTTAGCTAGCCGTCCCAGCCAGACATTGTCACTTTAATGGCCATGTTCACACTGCAGGGCGTGATACCCAATTCAGATTTTTTGATTAAATGTGATCTTTTTATGTACTTATACTATATTATAACAACAAATGCAACTTCAATTGTGAATGGAATGCATCCCTGTTATGACACGCATGCGCACAAAGCAAGACGGAGAGTGACATGCACAAAAAAAAAAAAAAAGACGATGTCATGTGCCACAGTGTTTACGGAAGTACTAGTAAATATTATCCCCCGTCTAGGTACTCATTTCAGATAAACAGAGAAGCAAGGCTGGTGGGGGTAGAAATATTTGCAGGAAATGAGGCAACACTTTTGTTTCGTCTTCATTTCATGGAGACATCTACTAAAGATGACATCACGTCATTGCCCAGGGTAATCCATCTGTGTTGCTGAATTGCTGTGATAACACTGCATGAAAAGAATCACATGCATGTCTCATATGGGCAAAAAAAAAAAAAATTAATTGAGCTACATTATGAACGTAGCCTAAATGTGTGCATGGGGGAATTTTCTTTCTTTCGGTATTTTCCTTGACTACCATAGGTACTACAAGAAGATCTCCAGTTGTTGATGATGTAAAGTTGGCCGCTGTGAATGGGCACTTGGAGACCACCTTCCACCCGTGAACATGAATCCGTGTGTGAAGAACCCCCCCATCCCAATAATCTCCCCACCTTCTAAGTTTGTGTTGCGCGGTCAGTGGATGCTATTAAAATATTTTTAAGATGATAATGATAATATTTCAATCTATTGATTTCTCCAATGATTTGGAGAGATTGTCTCATGCTGTTGTTATATTTTTGAATGAAATACGATGACAACCACCACATACGTCTGCGGAGTTCAGAATCTGTTTGCCTCGATCAAATCACCATAATCGTGTTACACCATCTGCCCCACAACTTAGACTAGTTTTTATGTAGTCTAAAATCTAGTCTGCTTTTGGTCACCAAATTGCCAGATGCACTGGGGGCGTGTGATTTAAACCACCAGACCTCTTATTTCGGCATAGCGCGGTACCAATTTCACAACCATGCTAAACTCTGCTCGCCCCCAACAAGGCTTCTGTCTATGAAAATACGGCTCCAGATGTCAGCGGCTGAGACTGTGTAAGAGACTAGTTGCATAGTAGATGTGGTATTAACAAATACGAGAGCGTAGAAATTAGTGTTGTCATGGATCGAAACTATTCAGTACCAGACTGCATAAAATACCTCAATACTGGTATGGAACAATACCATGGCAAAAGCTTAAAACATCAGTAAAAAGCAGTGAAATAATATCTGACGGCTAATTAACTGAAAATTTGTTTTTTATTAATTATAAAAAGCCATTCTTTATATATATTTTTTTAAATTCACGGAACGATACTGGTACCGGTATTTGGTGCAACACTAGTAGAAATATGTCATAAATCAAGATCAAACATATCTTCAGCGGTAGTTGATTTTATTTCGGCAAATAAGGCATTCCAGAGTACTGGAACCCGAATGGAGAGTGCTCTAAAATCTGCTGGATGTTACCATGAGCACGAAGAGTCTTTTGGCCTACTTATATGAATAAAAGATTCAACTCAAGGTGTGTAATCAGTTTTAAGCGGTGTACATACATACTGAAAAATGGGCCAGATTATCCCCCCACCCCCCACCCTGCCCTCTTTACGATCTAAGGCTGATTGTTGTATTTCTCTCGAAGATTATCCTGAGCGAGTGATTACCCAGTGGTGTGGGGTATATTAGGAGTGATCTGGTTGGCTTTCGATCGGGGCCAGCAAATGCAAATGTTAAACCTGTTCATTGTTTACGATGACTAATCTGACACTGAACTGGGCCAGTCCAGTGGCATCTTCCTCTGCTAATACTAACTTTCTCCTGAGAAAAAGGTTCCCCAGTACAAATGGAAACCTTTCATTGTGAACCGCACCCACAGTTGGAGGAAATCAACACTCTTGTTTTGAAACAGGAAATTGGCGATGTGGAGAACTGGGCCCGCAGCATCGAGATGGACATGAGGACCATCGCCACAGCTCTGGAGTACGTACACAAGGGTCATCTTCAGTCAGCTCCCTCATAGGTGCTTCCACAGAGGTGTAGGGATGCGACGAAGAACCATAAAACAACAAAACATGACAGATGTGTCATGCAAAAAAAAAAAAAAAGTCTTTTTTTTATCATAAAATGTGAAGCCTGGCGGCTTACTTTGAGATTTTTGTAGCAATACAAAATCTGTCAGCTCACAAGGATGTTGTCTTATTTATAAAGTTGCACGACTGAAACGCCAGGTGATTGATTTCCATCAGAGCGTAAAGAGGAAGAATATGTTTGTCCATTTTTGTAAAACAGCTTCATCTCTGGTATGTCAGTATCAATGTGTATTAACTGTGTACAATACGTGTTGAGTTAGATTTTTTTTTTAAATAAAGATAAAAGTTAAGTAAAAATGTATTCATGTCATTGACAATACTATGATCAAAAGTTGCCGCTACCCTTTCATGACGTTTCCCAAAAGCTGGTTGCTGGGCGCACCACCCATGAAACAGTAATGAACAGTTATTACTTGGCACACTAGTTCCGCTTTGTCATAAAACCCAAACAGACCCACACCACACACCACTCCGAGCTCATTGTCATTAATGAGGCCACCCCTCCCAAGTCAACAGCTCGTTGACTTCACTCTGCATTGTCCAAAGCCTGTCAGCGGCGGCTTTCAGCCGCCATCCCTGAGGTGATCGCCACAACCGTTGGACCGGCAAAGCACCGATACTCTGCTCTGGCAGTTGGAGACCTCTCATTCAAGTGTTTGGGACCCAGTGCATGAAAGGAGCCACTTGTCCCCAATTCCAGTGCTATAGAAAAAGTTTCACTGGTGGCTGATTTGAGGAAGTGTGTGTGTGTTTAGTCTGCAGGGGTGGGAAGGGAGTGGGCTCCTCACTTTTGGCCATTTTCCATCGCGCTTGTGCTAGTGCCAGTTCTGGCCCAATGCCCAGGTTAGCACCAGTTCTTCCACCACCGAAATTGGCTCTGGCTCTAGCTCTGGTGCTTAAATGGTGCTGAAGCTGGCCCCAGTTATTTCTTGGGCCAGACTCTGGCACCAACTACATCAGGGGCCAGGGGGCGGGGAGCAGAGTTATATTGACGATCGCAGATGTGGAGGAATGACTCCCTGGACACACGGAAGTTTTGCACAAACTGTTGAGGGTGAACTCTGGCACAGTTGTGTCTCACCAGAAAAGCAATGTGTCCAGATAGCCTGCGATCTCCGACTCGCAGCGAGCTTCGTGATTATCTACAATGATTAAGAAGGATCTAAGCATTTGCTGTTGCATATCCCTGACTGTTATATACTCCATGCAAGTATAATCGATGCTAAGCTAAGTTGCCTAGCAGATGCTAACAGTGTCTAATAATAATAATAATAATAATAATAAATTATTATTACTATTATTATTATTATTATTATCCATCCATCCATCCATTGATCCATCCATTTTCTGATCCGCTTAATCCTCACAAGGGTTGCGGGGCGTGCTGGAGCCTATCCCAACTGTTGTCAGGCAGTAGGTGGGGTCCACTCTGAATTGGTTGCCAGCCAATCGCGGGGCACACATAGACAAATGACCATCTGTGCTCACACTCACACCGAGAGACAATGTATAGTGTTCCATTAACCTGCCGCGCATGTTTTTGGAATGTGGGAGGAAACCAGAGTACCCAGAGAAAACCCACGCAGGCACGGGGAGAACATGCAAAATTCCCCACAGGAAGGCAGGAGCTGGAATCGAACCCTGCGCCTCTGTACTGTGAGGCAGACGCGCAAAACAGTAAACAGTTATTATAAATAACACTAGTAGTATTATTCACAATAATAGCACAGGTAGTCTTGGGTAAACGTCAATGTAAGCAGTGATGTTTGGACGTTGTACGATGACGCAATGACGTAGCTCTTGCTTGGCTCTTTGCTCATGGAAAACCAAACATGTTCTTCAGAAGAACCAACTAAGCACAGCACAGCACTGGCCCTGGCGGCGAATGAGCACTAAGTTTGTTTTGGTGGAAAAGGGTATTAGAAATGTGAGGACCCAGTAATATTTTTGAATTGGGTAGAGCTGTTGCTTAAAAAGGAAGAATGAGCCAGAATGCTCCGAGATGGAGGAAAACACCACTTTGGGGGTGTCTTTGGTGATGAATTAGCATTTCATGGCTGAAATCTCAAAAAGGTTGATTTTACATTACAAGATACCATAAAGATGTCTGTGACATGTTCTCGTCAAGAAACCACAAAGATCAAGAATTGTGGCACTTGGCATACATCTGTTTTTGCCTTGCTGATTTTTTTTTTATTTATTTTTTTTTTTTTTAAAGGCAGCCATGCCTCATGTAACTGAGCGTCCCATTAACTTCAGGAACAGGACTTACTGGGACCAAAATTCTGTACAGGAATATTCATGTTGGGAAGCGTTGAATTGTCATATGGCCAACGACATGCGACAAAACCTATTCAGCGAACAGCGCGGGTGGGCGGCCGGCAGCCATCATGTGCTGAAATGTAATTTTTGAAAAGTTGGGTGGGCGATTGGATGGTGCCTGTTATACATCGAGACCTATCGGCAGCCATTGTGTTGTCCAGCCATCACTTGAAAACACCTGGCCTGGTTTTGTGGTTACGGCCATCGAAATTTAGTGCTTTTTATTTTGTTTTGTTTTGTTGTAAATGACCAACACAGGGTTGGTTAAATTCACACTTGATGGGTGCACAGGCATTAAGAAGACCACAGTACTTGCTCCTCAACAAAAACAAAGAAGGCTGTGTCTGAAGGGACACTTGACTTGATGGAAATCAACAAAACAAAACAAAACATGGCGTCACACTCAAGGTGTAAACCACTCAGGGTAAGGGGTTTGCTTGTTGAGCAAACTATCCGCGGAATGTGTGACAGGTGGAAACACCTCAAGAGTGTTGCACTCCTGTTCATAGTCGGATGAAAAAAAACCCACTGTTGATCACGTGATGTGTAAATTCTTACAGATCAGAAGAATTAATTAAAAAGAATTACAGTGCAATGACGTGTTAAAATACTTGGAAATGAGTTTTGTTTTTAATGTTTAATCAAACGAATTATGACTGTAACTTTGTAATGGTGTCAAAATATAAATGCAGAACATGACACAGCAAGGAAATTCTTAACATGTCAGTTTAACTGAATGAAGGCTAAATCGTCCATCGCTAGGAATGCTTGTTTGGCTTTAAATGTGTGGCAACCAGTCCGCCGTGTACTCTCACTTTTGCCACCCAAAGTAAACTCGGTTAGACTCCTCAAATGAATGTTCGGTTTAATGAGAGATATTATGAATGAACATGTCAATGGTTGTTTGTCTCCATTCGCCCATGGACTGATTGGCGACCAGTTAAGGGTGGTTCTCTCACCCTAAAGTCAGATGGGATAGATTCTACCTCCCCCGTGACCCTAATGACGCTACGTGCTATAGAAAATGAATGAACAGATAGTTTTCCAGTTGTCACAAATAAGCTTTAACATTTCGCACACAAACGTCCCCCCTTTACATCGGGCACATGTTTAAATTTTTCGCACGTGGGATTACTTTAACACGCTTAAATAAAAGCCTTATTGTGTTTGTGCACATTAAGAGAACACTTTACTGATCCCAAAATAATGAAATGCTCTACAGCAATGAGAAGTTGGATAATCTAAATGACTTGAATAAAATTCTCACATTTTGCTGTATTTCTCCTCAAAGTGCACATGTGCACAAAGCAAATGCCTTGATGGATTTGGGATTAGCAATGGCGGACTTGTCTTAAGGGATAAAGCAGCAGCAGCACGAGTGAAAGCCTCCCTTTGAGCGGCCTCCTTGAGTTGGGACGTGAGCATAAACACGGGAACAAGGTTAACTTCTACACGTCCATCACTTCTTGAAACCAGGAAAAAGGTAGGAGTGAAGTTTTTTTTTTTTTTTTTTAATATACCGGTATATTATCTTGCAGATTATTTCTTTCTGTTTTTCCCGTATCAATAATCACCTCAGATTCCCAGACATTGCTACTACCATTATTGTAGGAAATTGCCCAATTTCACCTCACGGGTCCGAATGACTACAAATAATGTACAATATCTTTGTTCCTCTCTCGATGCTAGTGACATTTAGTGACGAGTAAGATAATTTCATTTTTTTCCACTAGATGGCAGATGGTACGGAATTATTGTGTATTCACTTTTTATGATGTTGTTGGTGGTGTGCCAAGGTATGAGATTTGAAAAATATTTGTTCTGGCTATAAATTTATCTGTCAGGTTTGATATACAGTATTACAATTCTATTGATTATTGTTCTTATTTTGCCATTGAATTGTTAATTTAAATGCTATTCATTCGGCCATGGTTGGATAATATAAAAGAAAATATTCAAAACTTATAAATAAGAACACATGTATTTAATATCTCGTATGTATTTAGAATCATTTAGCAAATTACTTTATATATATGTTAAATTCAGGGCAGCACAGTAGAAAACTGGTAAGCGCATCACAGCATCACAATGCAGTGGTCGTGGGTTCAAATCTGGGCTCTGGTCTTCCAGTGTGCAGTTTGCATGTTCTTCCCATGTTTGTGTGGGTTTTCTCCAGGTACTCTGGTTTCCTCCCACATTACAAAAACATGCGCTTTAGGTTGTTTGGACACTATACTTTAAATGGTTCCTACGTGTGATTGTGCATGGTTGTTCTTTTGTGTATACAGTACCCTGTTATTGGAATTGAAGACAGTTGGGATAGGTTCAGATAACGGATGGACCTTTTCTTTTAACAACATTCAACATTTATATCCGCACACTTTTACTACAAAGAGTCCCCTATTTCCAAATAATGTCCAAAAATTTGAAATCTCGTCAGACCACAGAACACTTTTACACTTTGCATCTGTCCATTTCAGGTGAGCTTGGACCCAGAGAAGCCAGCAACGTTTATGGGTGTTGTTGATAAATGGTTTTGCTTTGTATAGTGAAGGTGTAGCACCAAAACTGTATTGACTGAAATTGGTTTTCTGAAGTTTTCCTGAGCCCACATGGTGATATCCTTTACACATCAGTTTTTGATGCAGAGGGATCAAAGGTCACGGGCATTCAATGTTGATTTTTGGCCTTGCTGCTTTGATGCAGTGATTTCTCCAGAATCGCTCAACTGTAATTTTTGCCACCTGTCCCATCTTTTTTGGAGCGTATTGCAGGCATAAAATTCTATGTCAATGATTGTTTTCTAAAAATAAGTTTATCAGTTTGAACATCAAATATTTACTGGATGCAGTGTATTAAATTAAATATAGGTTGAAAATGATTTACGAATCATTGTATTCTGTTTTTATTTATGTTTAACACAATGTGCCAACTTAATTGGAATGGAGTTTGTTTATGAATATAGAATTATGTGTTTTTGCCCAGTAATAAGGCTGGAAAGTAATTGGTTACTAGCAGCCTTTAAGCAGCTCTGTCACGGGCATTACATGGCCACTTCCAAACAAAGCAGTCCGACCCCACCACCCCACCATCCTTCACAAATGCCTTTCTGTCCTTCATAAGAGCATTAAGCAAAGATTTCTCATGTGGCACCAAGTGGGAATAGACTAACCATAGTGTACGTAGACGGAAAGAAGTCAGGCGTTGCACAATTATGATTTAAATGAATAATTTGTCTGATTTAACAGTTTCTCTTTCACATAACATTGTATTGTTTTTCCGATGTTTGTCTTCCAGGTCAGCGCAACGCCACTTCAGAGCCTAGAGGCAGAGTAAGCATGGAGTTTGTTTACGAGCTTTTAGGGTAAGAAGTGTTTAGCTGTCCTGTATTGTTATGTTTTGGGACAAATTGATCCATTTAAAGTTTTTTAAATATGTTGCTTTTCAGTTTGAAACTTCTGGTAATGCATTTAACAATTGGAAAGATCAGTTAATAATGAGGTAGACAGTTTTAGATGGTTAAAAATGACCCGGGTCGAATTGATCCAAGAGCATAATTGATGTTCCTGAGAAACAACACAATGGTTTTGCATTTTAGGGAACCAGACCCAGCAGATTGCACTGGTGCAAAAATTGATTTTCATTTTTACAAATCTCTTGTTTAGCTTTAATACAGATCCATAATGCAAAAGGTGAGTCTCACTGTCTCATCCTTTCTTTTATATGTTGGTGCAGCAGCGGTCTCGGGACCAAATTCTCAAGAAATTAGCCTGAACTCTGCGGGAAAAAAATAACTCATAAAAAAAGTAATATTTTTAATCAAAGGTGGCCATTCCGTCAAACTGACGGAAGGTAAATCAGTCCGTCGCCGTTTCTGTCAGTATTTCAGGCAGACTCATATGGGCGCAGTCTGTCCCTTGTTGGTGACAGCCGAGCGGTATCGACAACATAATTTCTGCATCACACACAGGTGTAGCACAAGCCAAGACCCCCACCCCCACCCAAAAAAAAAAAAAACAATAAAAACAACAGGCACACACTCATGTGCAGCGTGGTGATTGGTGAAATAAAAACAATATGAGACACATGTCATTGAGGTCTTTGGGACTGAAAGGTATACAACAATGTTTTAGTTTTGCTGTGTTTGGCTGCATATTAGGTGTGCAGCACCTGCATGTGACGTGTTTGGCTGCATATTAGGTGTGCAGCACCTGCATGTGACGTATACCTGTAGTACCGGTAAGGCCGTTCTCGTCGGAATTTGGCTGTCGCTGACGACTCGGAGGGACTGGACTGGCCTGAAACACTGACGGCAGCTCACTGATGGGCTCACATGACTGACGATGTCCAGCTTTGATTTTTATGACTGCCTGTGTTCCACACAACTGTTTAATCTAAAAACATTGCATTAACTTAATTTTGGGGTGGATTGTGCCCTGAGAATTCTGCCCAGCAACAACTAATTGACCAAGATGAAGAGTCGATGCAAATCTACTTTTCTGCCTTCTTTGATTTTTTTTTTTGCAATGAGTCACAATATTTCTCATATAGGCTACATCCTCACTGTCTGCAGGGACAATGCTTGGCTGTACATAAGTGCCACCTTTGCCGTGTTGTGGATTGCCGCGTGGTTGTACAGAGACAGCCTGGAGATTGAAGACGTGTCCAACAAATACGTCTTTGTGAGCGGCTGTGACTCAGGCTTTGGAAACCTTCTGTGCAAGAAGCTAGAACGAAAGGGCTTCCATGTGTTGGCTGGCTGCCTGACCGAAAAAGGAGCCGAGGAGCTGAAGAAGATGACGGGGCCCTACTTGAAGACGGTACTACTGGACGTGACGAGTCAGGACAGCATCCAGAAAGCCATGGAGTGGACCAAGAAGGAGGTTGGCGACAGTGGTGAGCGATTTGTTAACATTAATTCATACAGTAAGTCCACGGTATCGAGAAGGGGTGTCAAACTCATTTTTGCCGCGGGTCACTTTGGAGTTACGTCTTCCCTTGAAGGACCTTTACAACAGTGAAGCCGAATAAATGTTGAATCATCAAATGGTATAACTACTTATACACAACAAATTGATGGATTAGTAGTTTGTTCAATTTGTTGTTCAATTATTGTTCAAGTGAGTGTGAACAGGGTAACAAATTTCTTGCAAAATCTCAACCGGTTTGCACATAACAATTTGACATTTACAGATTGACAGGTACAGATTTTAGCAAGGATAATTAAAGCTGACATGCATGATTTGCTTTTGCGGTCCACATAAAACAACATGGCGGGCCGGATATGGCCCGAGGCCTTGAGTTTGACACCGGTGATACAAAGATACTCTATTTAACCCTTTCACATGCACCCTGTAACCTGATAACATGATAAGATGTCCACTGTAGTAAAATGGCAACAGTGAATCTTACAGCAAATAACAATATTCCCAGACATATTTATCTATCCATCCATCCATTTTCTGATCCGCTTTATACTCATAAGAGTCGCGGGGGGTGCTAGAGCCTATCCCAGCTGTCTTCGGGCAGTAGGCGGGGGACAGCCTGAACCGGTTGCCAGCCAATCGCAGGGCACACACAGACGAACAACCATTTGCGCTCACACTCACACCTAGGGACAATTTAGAGTGTTGAATCAGCCTGCCATGCATGTTTTTGGAATGTGGGAGGAAACTGGAGTACCCGGAAAAAACCCACACAGGCACAGAGAGAACATATAAACTCCACACATGAAGGCCGGAGCTGGGATTGAACCCAGTACCTCGGCATATTTATCATTTGCAAAAATATGATAGACATCACTGCAGTTTACTGAGCAGTTTGACCATCTTATTTGTTTATATATGTATTCATGTTTTATATTTGTCCCTCTTCTCTTTCATTCCCTCCCTTAAGGGCTCTGGGGTATTGTGAACAACGCCGGCCGCTCTCTGCCCATGGGTCCCACCGAGTGGATGAAAGTGGAAGACTTCCACAGCACGCTCAAGGTCAACATGAACGGTGTGATCGGCATGACCGTGACTTTCCTTCCCTTGGTCAAGAAAGCCCGAGGGCGCGTGGTCAACGTGGCATCTGTACTGGGCCGGGTGGCGGCAAACGGCGGCGGCTACTGCATCTCCAAGTTTGCCGTGGAGTCTTTCTCCGACTGTCTCAGGTGAGTAGGTCTTTGTTGTGTCCATTTTCAATCCACAATGGAAAAACAAAAGATTAAAAAAGTTATTTTTTTATGAGGCTGTTACTGGTATATGATTTTCTAATGCTTACTGAGAAACTCAATTGCAATTTGGTCATGTAGCCTATATTTTGTTTTGTATTTTCATCTGACACTATAATTCAGATATGAAACATTCGGTTTCTTTTTTACATTTTTGTTCACTTAACAACTTAACAAAGAAACAGAAAGATCTAATAATTAGTGACTTTTTCCATTTTTTTGTATATAGAAAATGGAAAGAATGGTACATTTTGATGACGTTTTTCTTAAAACACCAGGGAGCTCTTTTAGATTGAGAAAAAATATATATATATATCCCCTTTAAAATGTTAATGTAATGTTCAACAGTAAAACAGAAATAAAGAGGAAATGATTGTCTTTCTACAATACTTCTCGGCGTAAACACAAAATAATAACATGTAATGGCCCGTCCACAGGAGAGATATCAATTACTTTGGGGTGAACGTGTGCATCATTGAGCCGGGCTTCTTCAAGACAGCTGTGACCAACCTCGAGCCCATCGAGAGGGAACTGCACCGCTTGTGGAATCAGCTCAGCCCTGAAGTGCAAGCAAGCTACGGGGACAAATACTTGGACAAGTGTGAGTGGGCTGTTTCAGTAGGATCACAAACTATAACAATTTACAATGCACTCACCTGCCAAAATATGAATTACATCCTTTGCAATCGCATGATATCCAAACATAGTCGACAAAGATAATATTGTTAAGCTTTGATTCTCGAACGTTTTGAGGGCAAATAGGAATGTAGTGCAGTCATTGGTGTCAAGGAAGTACTGTACCATATATTCTGCACTAAAAGGCGCACCGAAAAGCCTTCCATTTTCTTAAAAGCTCACAGCGCGCCTTAAAATCCGATGTGCCTTGTATATGGTCATTACAGTAATTTTTCGACCCCAAAATGGCTCCATGCTCGAGACATGCTGACAACGCAGAGTTCAAACGTAAGGCGATCGGTTACGCAGTTGAACATGGAAATAAAGCAGCAGCAAGAGAGTTCATCTTTAACGAGTCAATGTTATAACTTGCTGTTGGTTAAGTGAACTGTGTCGCTGCTTTATTAAATAAGTTCTGCTGACATCTGATCATTCTGTTGGCGTTTCCTTCAGCGTAGCTCCATCTAGTGGATGCATTGTAGATTCCGTCTTATAATGCGGTGCGCCCACTGTATGAAAAAAATTACAAAATAGGTCATTCATTGAAGGTGTGCCTCATAATCCAGTGCGCCTTTTAGTGTGGAAAATACGGTATGTTAAAGTGATGCATCTTGAGACAAGCGTTGTACTATGTGTTGATGATAGATGTTCAGGGGGGACTTTGCCTCATGTGCATGTACATTACAGCTAAAATAAAGTAAAACGACTCACCAGTCAATGATTGATAAATTGCAGACATTAGGATCCAGCGCTTCATCATGAACGCCATCTGCGACTCGGACCTGACCAAGGTGACAGGCTGCATGGAGCACGCGTTGACCGCTGTGTACCCTCGGACCCGCTACAGCGCCGGGTGGGACGCCAAGCTCCTGTGGATCCCGTTGTCGTATATGCCGTCCTGCGTGGTGGATATCGGACTCAAGCTGGTTCTGCCCCGTCCGTCCAAGAGTGTGTGACCACTCACAACTTGAGTCGTTCACCCTGGCGTAGAGGATGCTGTGAAGCGAGTGATACTTATCTGAAATGCATTAATTAGTCTATAATTACAAATATATTTATACATTAGGTGCATAATGCCACTAATTTAAAGTGAATAAATATGCTTCTCTTATGTGACTTGTGCCATATTATATATGGCTCCTTCATATGAAGAGCTGTGGGTGATCAAACGCAGACACTTAAATAAAGACAGGTTTTCAATAACGGTGCTGTGTACAACATAATAAAAACAGGTCACTTTCTATGTTGTGGTAGTTTATGTACCAGTAACAAGTGAAGTGGCACCTGTACATGATATTACATTACAAAAACAGGTGTAAACAATTGAAATTATTTTTCTCAACTTCAAAACTTTTTAAATGTAACAACAGATGGCGTAATACAGTGTTTTTGCAATTTTTTTTTTAAGCCAAGGCACATTTCTTTGATTGAAAAAATACCGCGGCACACCACTACCTGAAAATGTGAAAAAAAGCTTATTTTAACAATTAAGTGTTATATTGTTACTATAAACGTTTTTTTAACATTGAAAATTAACGCAATATTGTAACACATTGAATAGGAATCAAATCAACATCAATCCAATATTTGCTGGATTCGTTTTAATGGCAAGTAAAATATAGTCAATTACTGTACTGTAGAACTTTAACGTGCTCAGGGTGGGATTTTTTTCTGTGTGACAGCCGGTTATTTTTCTCCCGGTCGTTCGCTCTCTCCCGCAATATTGTACCAATCCCTTTTCCCATTCTGAGTCTTTGTATAATTCCAAGATCATTCAAATGACTTTTCTGCTGAATGTGTCGCTTGTGGTACAGTAGTCCATCTTCCATTTAGACTAAATGGAAGATGGACTATCATTAGAATCAAAATTTGCAATGATAGGTGATTAGCATTTGCGTCATTTATCGCCGCCGCACTGTTACTGTATTGTTATGGAGCAGAGAACATGCGCAAGTACCGTCAATGCCGTGATTGGCTGCATAGCGTCATTGCATCGTGTCGTGTGATTGGCTGGACACCTGTCACTCACTCACTAATCTAATTCATTTGCAGTGCGCTCACTGCGCCGGATAGATTTTCTTGTGCGCTGAGAGTGTGCGACCAGTGCACAGTTTAGACGGTTTGTGCCGTTGCATCTGCATTGTATTGTCTCGTGTCGAAAACTTCGCTTGTCTCGAAGCGTGTGGCAATTTCCTAGCTGCTGCTGCTCCCTACCGGTATGGAAGAGTACTTACTACACGATTACTCTTCCAGGCGATCGAGCGCACAGGCATACATATTGTATAATTTTCCACGGCACACCTGATAATATCTCGCGGCACAGGGTTTGAAAAACACTGAATTAGATCATCATTACATATTTTGTGAATCAAAATGATTCTGTGACTAGGTCTGAAGCGTTCCTTCATAGTCTTGTATTTGATGATTCAAAGACAAAGCAGTGAGAAGAGTGAGTTGGTCATGACAGACATTTGTCATGTTTATTCATGTTGACAAAGGAAATGCAAAAATAGATGCATATATATATATACAGGTATATACACACAGACACACATATGTGTATAGATATATTGGTTATTAAATAACCTCTATAATTACAAATATACCTCTATAACCCAAAATAAGCTCTATAATTACAAATATACAAGAATTGATTTCATTATATTCAAGAACACTGTACAATCAGAAAGAAGATAATCATGATCTTCTCTCTGACATCATTGTAACCGGTAAGAATTGACTTGATCATTCTCGTCTCTCATTCGATGTTTTAAAAGTTATCTTGGTGTCTGTTGCTGTATCTGGCAGTTGAGAGACGACAGTCCAGGAAGTGCACAAAGGGAGTCCCTTTGGGTGATGGGACCAGGTCTGCTTTTCCAGCTTGTAGGTGTCACAATGCCATTGCTTCGCTTTAATTGCCGCCATGGACTTTTTGATCTTATCTGAAACAAAGTAACACAAAACAAGAATGGAGATTCAATGCGAGATTGGTTTGTTATTGACTTGAGTGATACATGAACTCATTTACTTTGTATGTGTGGTTGAAACTGTTCACATGGTTGTGCAAGTTATTTGAAAACAATTATTTGGTCTTTTGCGGGTATGAGAAACATTTTCTTGGGGAAAAAAAAAAAGCAATGGTTGCAACTAATGACAGAAAGTATACACGTGATGTGGCCGAAACTGAACTTTCAACAATGATTTTGTATTCTAATTCATCTCTATCCCTTACCCATGAAACTGGCCACTGCTGGCTCACAGTCCATCTTGGCGGAAAGCTTCTCTTGAAGCATTTGTGGCATCTTACCTGTAACATGCAGCAAAAGCAAAGAAATTAGATCTCAACAAGACTGGGGCTGTGAAGACTATCAAGCTGAGTTATGTGCATTGTTACCAATGTCGTGGGCGTTCTCTATGAAGCAGTGAAGGACATCCCTCTCCAGTTGGAGGCATTTCTCTGCATTGCCGTCCATCTTTGTAACTCCTCCGGACTGGAGGAGGGTGGGAGCCAAGACTAACGACAAGTTAGCGGAGTCCATTTTATTCTTTGCACTCCTGGAATCAAACCCAGAGAGCAAGGATTAGCACACTGAGACAAAAAGTCCTTCCTGAATCAGAATCACAAAAATGTAAGCACCTCTTGGACACTTTTAGCAGGAACTCAGCGACATGACGCATGACACTCTGGTTTGCGTCAGGAAGGACGCAAGAGAGCAGCATGGTGGCGCTGGTGCGGGCCTCCTTGGTGGGGAGATGCTGTGCCTTGAGGAAGGCCTCCTGCATCTTGGTGGGTAGCACGGGTTCTGGCAAATCCTTGAAGAATTTCTTCACCAGGCCGGCCATGTCACAAGGACGACAGACAGACAGGCACTCTTCACCAGAATCCAATTTTTTCTGGACATACACAACAAAAATTAATGTCTGAAAGAACTTTCATAGAGTCAGCAATGCTAAGTGAGAGCACAGTCAACCAATCACTCACCTGCAGTGTCTTCAGGTGAGCAAGAGAGCCAGATACTCTAAACAGGCCCTCTGTGTCGACATGCTCCAGCAAGTTCATGCATGCATCCACCAGAAAGCTAGAAGAACAGAGATATGTTTCATACTTGCAATTTGACCAATATTCAATGCATGCAAACGACTGTATTCACTTACCAAGGGACACTCCCATACTCCATCTGAGAACACGGCAAGCACTCCAAGGGCACACCAAAGACCTTTGTCTGAGGACAAAAAAGTTCAGATGGAGAGCTCGATGAGAAATGAACATCATGAATCTGTAATATTCTCAGAAACATTGAAACGGTAATAACTGTAACACAGTGAAAATGTGAAAATGATTATGTCGCCAGCCACAACGTTAACTGTTAAGGAATCGTGTATACACATTTATATGTCATTGGAATGCTTCTCGGAATTGTATGTGCTGCTGTTGGATCACCGATGTGGAAACACTGGTACGGTCGCCTTCTTTAATATATTATTATTATTACTATTTCTAATCATTTTAAAATCTATATATTTTACTTATGTATTTTCTAATTGTATTGTACTGTATTTTTTTTTCCAAGATGGCGCCCGAGTAGGCACCTGTCGGCAAGTGCTCTTCAAGAGCCTTGCGTTTTTTTGTTGTTTTTGTCTTTTGTTTTGTCACATGGTGTTGTTGTTACGTTGTGTGAACCTGATGTGGATTGTTTTCAGCATTTTTGGCCACGACATTCATCAAAGAAGAAGAATCTGTTTTTGGTGCTTGCGCCTTCTCGGCAGCACGCGTGTACCAGCACTGATTTTGATTGGGAGGAATGTCGGCACCATTTGACTGTCGTTGCTGGACAGCCCCGGGCGCTTGTGTCTTGCGCCTGTGATGGGCAGCATTTTCACAGCCCCGCTTTGTTCAGCGGAAAGGTCGGTGCTGATGGACAGTCTGCGGCTGGATGGATGCATGACTTGAGAAGCCGACGATGAGAAGAAAGGAGCGTCAGCGCAGAGTGCCGATGCGTATGTGGAACTGGACAGTCTGCGGCTGGATGGATGCATGGCTTGAGGAGCCGACGATGAGAAGAAAGGAGCGTCTGCGCAGAGCGCCGACGCGTCTGTGGAACTGGGAGTCGCGGCTTGGAATTGAAGTGGATTTACATGGGACAGGAGATGAGGGCCAATCTCTTTTTCGTTAATGGACGCTACAGCTTCTTGTTGCTTTGAAAACTTAGCTTGTAGCAGACATGTGCACATTTTCAGCATGATGTCTTTGATCCACTGGTGAAAAGGACACTTTGATTCACTCCTCTTTCATCTCTCACTGCTTCAAAGAACAATGTGCATGCAGTCTTATGTCTGATGTGTTGTGTTGTATTATTTTGTATTTGATGTTAACTGTTCTTTTGAGGCGGTGCGGGCACCCGCAGCGGCTCCTCTTGCTGTTTTGTTTGGTTGAGAGGGAAGAAATTTCATCTGCTTCTCATGTGCAACATACAGTGCATTTGACAATAAAGTTGTGCTTGACTTAAATTGACTAAATACCTGACAATGATTACACTTCGTGCTGTGTACAAGAGCTGGGTCAAAACACTGTCTTTGCAAATGATTCATTTGTTACTGAAATTAATACGACGCTCACTGGATAAAAAGCATCTATCGATCGCAATCTAATTCTGAAATATGACTAATATGTGTTATTACTCTAGGGATAATGCAAATGCAAAACGCAATCAAATATGTTAATAATGAACCACGCTGCAACTCGTGTTATTTGACCTCGGATTGAGGGTCAAAATTAAATACTGGATTAGTTATGACCTCGTACTTTTTTTTTGGGTGGGGGGGGGGTGAGACTGGAAATGTTTTCTCCAACTTACCGACTTGGTTGCTGTCGACTCATAACGGACCTGTTTTTTTTGGTTGCACTTCTTGACCTTGATGCCGTAAGCTGTTCGGAGATGCTGCCCGGCCACTTTTCGAATCGCTTTTCTTTCTGCGACTGTCATTTTACCCTCTTCTTTCGTAACTATGGAGTAGAGGGAAAAAAAGATTCAGAAAAAAAATCAAATTAGCTTGCCGTTATGAAGACAAGATGGCAAGTGGCGTTCAATACTGCAGTCACCGGGCTAACGTTAGCTTGTAGGGGGGGGGGGCGAAACAACAACAACAACACCAACAAAATATTTGGATATGGCACGCAAATAAAACTCACACTCACAAGTCGAAGTTAACATAAAACGACGTCGATTTAATCAATCTACTTGATTACAGCGTCCGTACTTTCCCTGCTGAGCTTCTTTTGACAGACCGCCGCGCTCGAAAGCGGTTGAGCATGCGCCCGTTACGATTGGCTGGGACAACTTTCCACCTTTACAACAAGCATAGGTAATCTAATCTCCAGTACTGTATACTGTCAAATTATGACGTCAAATATTAATATACTGGGGGAAAATTAAGCAAAGTACATCGGAAGCAGCAGTGGGCTTGCCGTTCCGAAGACAAGATGGCAAGTGGCGTTCAATTCTGCAGTCACCGGGCTAATGTTAGCTGGTACTTGCAGGAAAAATACCAATAATACCAATAAAATATTTGGATATGCCAAGCAAATAAAACCCACACTCACACGTCGAAGGTAACAGATAAAACGATGTCGATTTCATCAATCTACTTCATTACAGCGCCTGTACTTTCTTCAGTGCGGCCAATTCCGTTTCCCTGCTGAGCTGTTTTGACAGACCGCCGCGCTCGAATGCAATTGAGCATGCGCCGGTTGCGATTGGCTGAGCCAACTTTCTACCTTTTCAACAAGCATAGATAATCGAACCTCCAGTAAACTATCAACTGTTGACGTAAAATATTAATATGATGGGAGAAAATTAAGAAAAATACATCGAAAGCACGAGTGGGCTTGCCGTTGTGAAGACAAAATAGCAAGTGGCGTTCAATACTGCAGTCGCCAGGCTAATGTTAGCTGGTACTTGCAGGAAAAACAACAATAATGCCAACAAAATATTTGGATAGGCCAGGCAAATAAAACTCACACTCACAAGTCGAAGGTAACAGATCAAACGATGTCGCCGAATTCAGCAATCTTCTGGATGACAGCGTCCGTATTTTCTTGAGTGCGGCCAACTCCGTCGCCCTGCTGAGCTCTTTTGATGAACGGCCACGCTCGAAAGCGGTTGAGCATGGCACGGTGCGATTGGCTGAGCCAACTTTCCACCTTTTCAACAAGTATACGTAATCGAACCTCCAGGAAACTGTCACATGATGACGTCAAATGCTAATATGATGGGAGAAAATTAAGCAAAGTACATCGGAAGCAGGAGTGGTGAGGTTAAGTGCCATCCTTTCATCACTCCTGTGGATGCATTAAACACAAAACACCACTTGTCCACGTTTTTGCAAATTCTGCAGTTGCACAGTAAAGAGTATAGGTCAGTGTTTTTCAATCTTTTTCGAGCCAAGGCACATTTCTTCCATTGAAAAAAAATCCCGCGGCACAGCACTACCTGAAAATGTGAAAAAAAGCTTATTTTAACAATTAAGTGTTATATTGTTACTATAAGCGTTTTTTAACATTGAAAATTAACGCAATATTGTAACCCATTGAATAGAAATCAAATCAACATCAATCGGCGTAAGCGTAAAAGAAAATATCACCCAGTTTCACTGCTTGTTCTTCGATTTTCACATACTCCGACAGCCATTGCAACTTAAAAGAACCGCAGTTTATTCTTATTTTGGTTTGGGGAGTCGACGTACCACATTCACTGCCCGGTCGTTTTGCAGTGATAGGGGATTAGCATTTGCGTCGTTTATTGTCCCCGCACTGTTATTGTTATGGAGCAGAGAACGTGCGCAAGTACTGTCAAAACCGTGATTGGCTACATAGCGTCATTGCATGGTATTGTGTGATTGGCTGGTCCCCTGTCACTCACTGAATTCCACAGCAAATTGATAGAGAAAAAAAAAGTTACACTGCACATCTAATTCATTTGCAGTGCGTTCACTGCGCCGGATAGATTTTCTTGTGCGCTGAAAGTGTGCGACCAGTGCGCAGTTATGCAGTTTAGAGGGTTGGTGCCGTTGCATCTCCTGTAAACGTAAATCTAAATGAAAGATACCTTTCATTGTGTTGTCTCGCGTCGGAAACTTCGCTTGTCTCGAAGCATAAGGCAATTTCCTAGCTGCTGCTGCTCCCTACCAGTATGGAAGAGTACAACACGATTACTCTTCCAGGCGATCGACCGCACAGGCATACACATATTGTATAATTTAATTTCCCACGGCACACCTGACAATATCTCACGGCACACCAGTGTGCCACGGCACAGGGTTTGAAAAACACTGGATTAGATTTTTGCGGAAGGCTTCTTTTCAAGTCAAGTCAAGTACAGTACAACTTTATTGTCAAATGTTGTTGAATTCCGTTGTTATGAATCTCGTCGCGAGGCAAGAGCAGAGAAAAAGATTTCGTATCACGGAACAGGGGGATTTTTCGTTGGGGGGGGCAGAAAAGTGGGAATGGTTTTCATGCATGAAAATTTTTTTCACACTTTGGTGTATTTTCGCCCATGTAGTTTTCGTTGTAGAGGAGTTTCAATGTATATTCCCTTTCAGACTTCGTAACATGAAATAACAAAAATAAAAAAGGCCTTTGAAAACATGCCTCAGAACTACTGTGCCATATTAATAATTCATTTGGTGGCCGTTTTCTTTATTTTCTTTTTTCACAGATTGAAATTAAGAAAACAAGAAGCAGTGATATCATGTAAAAAAGTGTTTCAGTGCTACTGCTCTGTGTGATAACATCATGAATATTGTAACCAGCACTTGAAAGTCCCGCACTGTTTTAATTCTTCAACAATATTTAGCATTCTTGAGAAAATTTAAAACAGCAAATCTACTCCCAATCTAGTATTTCATCAATAATCTGACAACAAATGGAATGTCTTGGGGGGAGCAAATTTTCACTCCGCGGGTATGTTGCATTATTAATGCTGTATAGTGTTGACCTCTTGTGCTGCCTGCTCGGATTCCGGTCAGAAAAAGAAATCAGGCCGAATTTTTGCCACTTGATACTACGTGAGAGAGTAGGACTGTTGAACATCTTAGACATTTTAGGGTGAAAAAAAAAGTCCTTTCCTATCGTCTTTCTTTCTCCAAACTGCATTCAGAATCATTTGTATAATAATAATAATAATAATAAGAAGAAGAAGAAGAAGAAGAACAACAACAACAACAACAAATTATCATATATTTAGCAATTAATCTTGTTTTTCATTCATTATAAAAGTACTGCTACGAGCACTACTAAGAATTTTTTAAACTTTTGAGTTATTATTATTATTATGACTACCCTCATGAGGATAAGCAGTTTGGACAATGGACGGATGGATTATTATAATAAAAATTATTATTGTTTTCTGTTTACCAAATGGTCCAAATTTGAGTTAATCTGGTATGAATATAATGTCTTGAAACTTCAGGTTTTTAACGCTTATGTCTCAACAGATATTATTAAGTTTTGACAGGTTGTTAAATTTGATTTTTATTTTCTTCTCTTTTCTTTCTTTTTTTTTTTGGGGTGTGACTTGACCAGTGCTGTTGATGTTTTCTCGGCATCCGCTAGGTGGTGCTATATGTCTATCAAAAAAATAACTGAACTAAATAGCGCAATTTAAACAACCATTAAAAAAAAAATACATACAAAGATAATATTAAAAACCATTTGCGAAAATTTGAAAAAAAAAGTTCAAATTACAACATTAGAAAAAATTAAAACTATATTTTAACCAAGCTTCCATCATAATAATAATAATGATAGTGTTACGTTGTTTGGTATTTTGTTGTAACAATCGATCCCAAAACTTTTAACTTGCTGTGTGTGTCATCATCTTCAGTGACTACATCAGCTGCTTTTCACTATTAATCATATATATATATAGATATATATATATATCTATATATATCTCTCTCTCTCTCTCTCTCTCTCTCTCTCTCTCTCTATATATATATAGAGATCTATCTATATATATATATCTATATATCGATATAGATATATATCGATATATAGATAGATATCTATCTATCTAGCTAGCTAGCTAGATATATCTATCTATATATAGATATAGATATATCTATATCTATATATACATATTTTATGTTATTTAATGTTCTTAGTGCTATCTTTGGGCCAAAAATGAGACGAAGGTACATTAAAAGTGGAGAACATTTTATTCCAATGGAATAACGTATAAAGACAGCCATGAGCATTCTTCAGTCTCCAGTTGTCTCTTTCTTTCAACCCATTACCTAGGAAAAAAAAGGAATAAAAAAAGTAAAGCGGGATTATTCATTATGGTGAAAGCACTTTCCAAACGGATGCTTTTCAAAAAAACTGTGTACCACCTAGTGTGACAAACCACATGATAGCAAGTTCATCAGGTATAGTTCACTCAATGTATAGGAGTTGAGGAGTTGAATACTGACGCTGTTCATCCAGCTGATGTAGTCGGATACGCGGGTGAAGACGGTGGGCTTCCTGTAGGCGTTGCAGCCAGATGACGACACGAAGCTGGTCACGCCGTGCACAACATACTGACCGTTCACTTGGCAGTTCAGGGGGCCGCCGGAGTCACCCTGAATACATTATCCATTCAGCCAACCAAAAAAGCCCAACTAAAATATTGTTGTAAAGTCGTTTATTTATTTTCAAGAAAAATGTAATTCTATAATATTCACCTCATCAAGTGATTCGTATTTTTTTTTTTTTGTTGCTTAAATTTAATGGACATTCGATGCTCTTCGGCCCCCGGACCAAAGCAGAAACCAATTATGTCATCTTTTGACCATAAACATTTGCAAGTAAATGTATGGATGCGAACTCCATATGTCGGACCATAATTTAAAAATTATTATGTTTACATTTTAAACCGTATTTATTATTCCTGAGGAGTCAGGTTTTAATAGTTCACTGTGTTCTTTTAAATGGTTCAATATT